AAAATGTAATAGCTAGAAATTCTACCCTTACTTTTTCCCCAGATAATTGATCTTTTATTTCCCCTTCTAGTCTAGAGAGCATTTTACTTATTTATTTATTTTGAAAGGGGATTCACTTTTGTTTCTTCCTAAGTTCTTAGCATAGTGCCTTCTGCGTGCTGTGCAGCAGTTTATTTTTATCAATGGGCCAAGAATTAATTTCATTTAATGAGAAAACAAAGACAATTAAGCCTATATTCTAATACTACCATTCTTTACCTGTTTCTAAAGCAATCCTCTCAGTTTGGTCAGAGAACCTTCCCATTCTTATATTTACTATTATAAGTTACTTTTGTTGTTTAAGAAAAGAGTTTGTAGTTCCCTTTGCAACTTGAAGAGCAAATTTTATTCTTTTTCTTCTGTGTTGGTCTGTATAATCCCCTATGAAAGTACCATTATTATTAGGTGAATGCCCCAAAAATAATTGAAAAAATAAATGGACTTATCATAATTACTTAGTAAAAGCAACTGTGTCATTTTGGCTAAGAAAATGCAAATGCTTTGTTTCTTAAAATTTACATAATTTGCATTAAAAATTACATAATCATCTTCAAGCTCTCTATAAACACCGTTGATTTATGTGCCCTTCACTAAAGGAGACCCATGAATTTGTAAGAGTTTAATGGGAAGTCTGATAGTTACAGTAGTTGCAGTTGCCTTAATTAATCCACTTCTCCAGGAACAACATACCTAGAATGACACTGTTTTGTTTCTCAAGTTGTGTTCACATTAATTTTTTTTTGTTGAGATAGAGTTTTGCTCTTGTTGCCCAGGCTAGAGTGCAATGACACTATCTTTGCTCACTGCAACCTCTGCCTCCAAAGTTCAAGCGATTCTCCTGCCTCAGCCTCCCGAGTAGCTGGGATTACAGGCGTCCACCACCATGCCCCGTTAATTTTTGTATTTTTAGTTTATCTGTGTTGGCCAGGCTGGTCTCAAACTCCTGGGCTCTGGTGATTCACCCACCTCAGCCTCCCAAAGTGCCGGGATTACAGGCATGAGCTACTGCACCCGGCCTAAATTTTCAAATAATGTATAGTTATCCATTAATATTTATACTACAGAATGTTTAGAAACTGATTTACCCAGTTCCATTTTACTTAAATTTATATTTAAACACAGGTCAAGCAGAAGAATATCAGTAAAAAGTCCCCCGTTTTTTTCCTAAGGGTTAATTTTAAATTAAAAACTTGGAATGGAAAGTCATTGCATGATCTGTAACAAAAAAGGTAGAATAGAGGTTTTTTCCACCTCTAATAATCTGTTTGTCTAAGATTTTACATCAATTAGTTAAAAGCCTATATTTGTAGTATTATCTTTTGAAATCACATAGCTCTTAAGCAAAAATAAGTATTATTTTTGGCACTTTAAAGATATCTTAGCTGAAATTAGCTTTCTTTGTCTACTTTTGAAACCATGGTTTACATTTTTTCTTTTCTTATAGTTGCATTAATTGCTGTGGCTTTATGAGCAATTTCTTTCTTATTTTTTTCTTTTTGAAAAAGATATACAGAAATGGTACTCTGACTCATCAGAGTTCTGATAGATTCATGACAACCAGTTAGTCACAAATCGTAGCTTACAGCTACAAATACGCCTGGCATTTTTTGCAGACTGTGATGTCTGCTGCTTTTACAGTAGCGTATTCATCCTTTAAATGCCACCATACTGAAAATGCATATTTAATTTTATGAATGCCTTTATCAGAGCTTAGGTAATTTTTCAAATGGTAAAATGTAATGATAATTAGTTTCTTATATTAATAGCACCATAAGGTCTTTGCTAATTAAAAAAATTCTAATTAAAAATGTAAATTGTGTACATTTTGTATGTGTGTTGCTTTTTTTTTCTTTTAATAAAGTTTTTTTTTTTTTTTTTAGAGATACATGCTGAACTACTTAGAAGCAAAATTATATGATATCTGGGATTTGCTTCAAAGTACCACAGGGAGAGAAAGTGTAGATGGGGTAAAGATTAAATAAGATTTGTTATGAATTGATCATTGCTGAAGTAGGGTTATGGGTACATGAGAATCCATTACAATTCTGTCTACTTGTGAATATATTTAACATTTTTAAATAATAAAATACAAATTTTATAGCTCATCTCACTTTTATAACATTTTACTGTAAGTTGATAAACTTCCATTAGAGTCAACATCACTCAACCTGTTAAAACCAAGGTTTATCTTTTCTACTAATCAGTTTCTTTCTGAACTCCCTATTTATTCCAAACTGCATGGTATAGTCTCTTAGTCAACTTAGATGATGACAGTCTACATCAGTTATTAATTTAATTGGGTAAATTCTGTTTAAATTTTTATTGCATTAGCTCTATCCTGATTCTTAATCAAGCTCTCATGATCTATCATTTGACAGTGTTAAATATTTATGAAATGAATGAATGAATGAAGCCGGAAATCTCTGAATTCTTTCCTATCACAGCACCTTTTGCAATTCCTTCTTACTTGTCCACATTGCCTCACTAGATTTTAAGCTTTATAGGAGCCGCAAGTGAGCCCAGTTCACCACAGTGGTCGCAGGCTAGTGCAGCATGTGGCATAAATTAGGTCTTGAACAAATATTTATGGAATAAATGTATTAATGAATCTGTTTTCTGAAGTGGTCTTCGTAATTTCTCTCTCTGTTTTGGCCAGTCTGCCCTCCATTTAGTTTCTGGGAGGGATTGCTGTAAACTGTCATTATGATCATCTTTTGCCTGTCAATGGTGTTTCTACCATGAGGGTAAGCATTCAGTCATTTGGACAGGAGGCTGGAGACCCGACATCCTATGGGACCTGCCAGAGGCTTGCTCCTCTTCTTCTTCTTTTTTTTTTTTTCTTTACTGATTCAAGTATTTTGTTTTTATTATTTCACATCCAACCCAGAAACATATTTATTATAAGCTAGCTCTTATAGTTATAGGTGATAGTAAGATCAGTGGCAGCTTAATCCAATCAATCGATTTACCGCCTTGCTCCAAATTTTCCGGGGGATTTTTCCATTTGAACTCTCTTCTTCTCATTGGCCCCCTTCTAATTAATGCCTAGCTGTCCTGTGGTCTCTGGACCTATTTTTTTTTACATAAATTCACTTATGCCAAACTTAACACGGCTGTTAGTTACTTTTAGTACCTCCTTTCTTTGGCTATTACTTAATCTCACTTTCGTATTTTCCGATTACTTCAGACTCCTTCTTATATTAAAAGCTTCTAATTATATACAGTAGGTTTGTAGTTAAGATTTCTTTTGCTGACTGCGAAAGAAAATTGAGTTCATTCATTCAACTCAACAAGTGTTTACTGAGAAGTCACTACTTGACATATGAATATTCACTGGGTAAATCTTGTTTACAAATATCTTTTTTTTATTGCATTTTAGGTTTGGGGGTACATGTGAAGAGCATGCAAGATAGTTGCATAGGTACACACGTGGCAGTATGATTTGCTGCCTTCCTCCCCTTCACCTATATCTGGCATTTCTCCCCATGCTCTCTCTCCCCAACTCCCGACCCCCTGCTGTCCCTCCCGTATTCCTGCCAACAGACCCCAGTGTGTAGTGCTCCGCTCCCTGTGTCCATGTGTTCTCATTGATCAACACCCGCCTATGAGTGAGAACATGCGGTGTTTCATTTTCTGTTCTTGTGTCAGTTTGCTGAGAATGATGTTCTCCAGGTTCATCCATGTCCCTATAAAGGACACGAACCCATTGTTTTAATTGCTGCATAATATTCCATGGTGTATATATGCCACATTTTCCCTGTCCAGTCTATCATCGATGGGCATTTGGGTTGGTTCCAGGTCTTTGCTATTGTAAACAGCGCCGCAATGAACATTCGTGTGCATGTGTCCTTATAGTAGAACGATTTATAATCCTTTGGATATATACCCAGTAATGGGATTGTGGGTCAAATGGAATTTCTATTTCTAGGTCCTTGAGGAATCTCCACACTGTCTTCCACAATGGTTGAACTAATTTACACTCCCACCAGCAGTGTAAAAGTGTTCCTATTTCACCACATCCTCTCCAGCATCTGTTGTGTCCAGATTTTTTAATGATCACCATTCTAATTGGCTGCTCCTCGTCTTCATCCTTCACCCCTCCACCCACTATTCGAACTACTTGTGTATTTTATGCTCTCTTTTTTTCTGAGCATTTCCTCTCTTAGAATGTCATCTCCATTCACATTTTGAAATTGGTGCCAACGGGAAATGCCTTCCTCATCCTGGGGAGGCTGAGATGATTTCTGTCCTATACATCTCAGCTGGGGACGTATCAGCAAATTCCAAAACTTCCCTGCTCTCAAAACACGTTGTACCTCTCGATCGTTTACAACCATTTTCTCCTAATCATTTTCCTTCTCACCAACAGTGAGCATCCCTAGAGCAGGAATTACTTTTAACTTCTTTAACATCTTCATTTTATCTGGCCAATAGAAAAACCCAGTAAATGTTAACAGAATGAGAAAATTAAGGAATGTATTTTTTGCTAAACAAATAAATGAGTTTTCATAAAAGCTGTGAAATCAGTGATATGGTTACCAGCATCCCCAAAGGTTGTTTTTCACATTTGCACCAGTTGTCCTCTATTTTCACAGTGTAGTCACCAGGTTGAAAGACACTCTCCTGAATCATATAAATCTAACTGCTGAGGTAAAGAAGGCCTTTGTGTGAACCAAGGGGCTAAAGGAAACAAGACTTTGGGCTTTTTAGAAATTTAAGATTTAGTTAGTAAGGGGAATAATTCTGATGACCATTTTAATAAAGCCTTCTTCTAGCTTCCATGGAGATTGAACAAATATTTCAGAGCTCCAACATAGCTAGATTTTTGATACTCAGAATATATTTTGTAAGAGGGCCAAGGTATGAGCATACTAAAATTTGGGAGATCTCTCATTATGATGAAATGAACCTTCGAGCTTACGAAGGTCATATAGCTTTGGGTTTTTCTCTCTTTCTTGCAGATATGTCTTCTCCGACTACTATGAAGAAGCCTGAAAAGCCATTGTTCAGCTCTGCATCTCCACAGGATTCTTCCCCAAGACTGAGCACTTTCCCCCAGCACCACCATCCCGGAATACCTGGAGTTGCACACAGTGGTGAGGAGTTTCAAGCATAGAGGAGAATCCTCCATATTGCCTATAGGGCCCAATCCCTTAGGGATGGAGCAAACTTTTATAATCATAGTTATGGTGACCATATTTTTCTCAACCACAAGTGGGAGGGGCACAATCTGATCAAATATTTTTTCTTCTTGATTTATGAGAGAAGATTTTCAAAGTCATACAAGTAAATAATATTTATAATATGTATTTTTAAATTACCTTTATCAAAAAGATTGTTAGAAGAATGTGGAAAATATGGGCACACAGCTATGTTTACTATAGCTTTAGGATTGGTTGTGGTATTTTACTAAGGGAAAGATGGAATTTCAATTATGTTGCTGAGTTTAGAGTTTTCTAAAGGCATTAAGATATACAGGTGCTATTTCTATGAGCGTCTAATAAGTAGATGCTATTTTCTACGTATAAATCAATATTTATATTTGAGAGTAATCAGAAAATAAAAGGTACTTTTCTTTGACAGTTGTTTTATATGCCCAAATCCTTTGGACTAGTACACTTGATATTATGTCTAATATCTTAATTAGGAAAAAGAATCTAATATTTTTACTTTAGCCAACAGCTAATATCAAATCTTTCAAAAATTAAAAATGAGATACAGATAATAATGCACACTGTATACTTTTTACTTATTACTTTTAATTCCTAGAGAGGAGTAGACTGCATTTTAGGTGGAAAAACTTTTATAAAAATATATTAATAATGAAAGTTTTATTGGTTTAAATTTACAGTTAGGTACTTGCTCATCCTTCTAACTAATTGAATCTGGTTTTTAAATCTTTATGCAAACATTGTAACATTTTTAAAAATAAAGTCCTTATTAGCTTTAGTTTATAAGTATATGTTGATATTTATTGCTGTTATACTTAAAAAATACATGGCCTTTATTGCTATCATTTAAAAAATTATGAAATTGAGAGGGTACTATACAAATTAAATGTGGTATAAGAACTTGTACATTTATTACCTATACCATTTAGATAGGTGAAAAAAAATCAATAACTATAATGTTGAATATTTGGACAAAATTAACTGAGAAGTCAAATCACTCATTTGTTATGACACCTGATGAAAATATTCTTATTTCTAACATGTGTAAAGAAGTAAACAGTATATTTTTATATAATGAAACAAGAGAGACCCAGATGAGCCTTCCACCTTGGTCTTTTGCCAGGTATTTGTTCAGTATCTGTATATTCCGGCCTGTGGTAAGCACCTTGGTCATAAAAGATAATTTCTGTCCTTGAACAGTTCAGAATATAGTAGGGAGAGAGTAGGGGCCACATAATTGGCTGGGTGTCTAATCTCAACATGACTAGATACCTGAAGGAGAATTAGATGCCTGGAAGATATGTGTTTTAAGCTAAAGTGTGACGGCAAAGTTCGCTGGAAGAAGGAACGAACTAGGAAGAAGCGAGGCAACCTGGGAGGCAGAGGGGTGAACTAGAGGAAGAGGGGCAACCTGGGAAGCAGAGGCAACCACAGTGCATTAGAGGCCATTGCAGCAGGGAACTGCTATTTAGCCAAGGATCCACAGATCTCTTCAAGTGGCCAGAGATGAGGCCAAAGAAGTGATTCAAAGCACATGAGGCTGTGTGTACGGAAAAAGCTGTTGGATTTTATTCTGGAAACAGTAGGAAGCCATTGAACATTTTTTTTCTTCTTCTTTTTTTTAATATATTTTGCCACCTAAGCCATTGAAATATTTTTAGCAGAGAAGTTACATGACTATAATGGTATTTTTAAAAAGTCATTCACTTAGCACTATAAAGGATGTATTGGAAGGAGCAAGACTGAAGGAAGGAAGACAATTAAGAAGGCTTTACAATAATGTATGCAAGAAATACACATACGTATATATGTATTTATTTTGTCATAATGAAAGAAAACTTTTTTGTCTGTATTTTGCTTTTCTTATTTTTATTTATTTATTGAAAAATAAGAAAAGAAAAATACAAGACAAAAATGATTGGATATATTTCTTACCTCTTCCAAAGACAACTTTTTCAGAAGATACAAGAAATTAAGAGTGTATGTAATAGAGGAAACATAGAGTCAGTTTCATAGTCACAACTTTGTTCCCTGAACATCCAGGGCACTGTTTCTGAGCATTCTCTAGATTATTCTTAAAATGCAGATTCCTTGGTCTGGACACATAGATCTAGGGAATCAGGACCTGTAGGTGCCTCTGGTGAGGCACCAGAATGTATATTTTAAACAAGTGCCTGGGAGACAGGGTCTTACTCTGTCACCCAGTCTGGAGTGCAGCGGCATGATCTTGGCTCACTGCAACATCTGCCTCCCAGGTTCAAGGAGTTCTCCTGCTTCAGTCTCCTGAGTAGCTGAGATTACAGGCACATACCACCACACCTGGCTAATATACACACACACACACACACACACACACACACACACACACACATATAAGTATATATATGTATGTATATATATTTTTTAGTAAAGATGGGGTTTCACAGTGTTGGCAAGGCTGATCTCGAACTTCTGACTTCGAGTGATCCACTCCACCCACCTTGACCTCCCAAAGTGCTGGGATTACAGCCATGAGCCACCATGCCGGGGCCGCTTTTCTTATTTTTAAAACACTAGAATGGCTTCTATGGAAAAGGTAGTCATTTTTACTCTTAGTTATAGCAGGCCACCTACAGCCCATGCAAGCACAGTGCCAGGTTGCCCATAAATTTGAGTTCGGATTTGATTTCTGCCATTTCAGTTGAAAAGAGATCTCCTCCAAAACTATTAAGGCCAAATTAATCTCAAACCCTAGAAGACTCAAGGTGGAACTATGTATATATCTTCCAAGGGTTTGTGTACAGATGTGAGCAAAAATCATGCTTAAAATGAGCTGAGATTAAGAGCACTTAGACACTAAGTAAAAGATGCCCAGTTTTTCTTAGAGTTTGTATTTCTTTAAATGATATTTTCAAATGGGTGTACTTCTTAAATAAAGTAATACTTCAGTAAAGAGTTTTGTTTTAAGACATATGCATTTGTTTTCTGAAATGTGCATACATTTGGTAGAAGATGCTCAAACTTCAGTATGTAGGATGATTACATCAGCACTTGTTTAAAATATACATTCTGGTGCGTCACCAGAGGCACCTAGAGGTCCTGATTCCCTAGGTCTATGTGCAGACCAAGGAATCTGCATTGTAAGAACAATCCAGAGAATGCTCAGAAACAGTGCCCTGGTTGTTCAGGGAACAAAGTTGTAACTATAAAATTGAATTTATGTTTCCTCCATTATATACATTCTTAATTTCTTGTATCTTCTGAAAAAGTTATCTTTGGGAGAGGTAAGCAATATATCCCATAAACAGGTCCTCCCCTCCCCTTGATCATGAAGTTACAAAGTTGGAGATAAATCATTCCAGGTGATTTCCCATTATAGGTTATGGTTAGAATTTATTTTTTTCATATTCTTTCCTAAATTGTCTCATAAAACGTTAGACATTTATCATTTCCTGCGATTTGAATTGGAAAATATTAAATAGACATTTATTTTTCACTTCTACATATATTTGTTGGTAGTTTTAATTTGTACTTCTATGATTATTTCTCTCAACATTATAGAGATAATGATCATACATTTATATACTTTCTTCATCTTTCAAACTTAAGATTTATATTTCAAAAACTGAACAATAAATTATAAACATACTAATGATAGTAAAATTGACATCATCCACATTGCATGTGTCATATATAGCATTTCCCTTTACAAAATTATTATAAAGTATGTGATTTATGGGTGAAGTAATATACTTGCCTATATGAAAGTTTTAATTTGCATTGCTATGGGTTTTATTATTGGTTTTACCTTAACAATATCTTTTAAACGACATATAGTAAAAGTTAGAGTAGAAAGAAAAATAGTTGCAGAATAGAGGTCTTTTGGTTTTGAAAGAAACATTTTCATTAGGAGAGTTTCCAGCTCTATATTCCAATGTTCATAAGCATTTATATCTTATAATGCTAGATGTAATGACTAGATAATTATAAATGACATGAGATGATTTTGTATTAGTTATTGTCTTTCCTTCTAAACAACTGCCAGGTAGGATATATAGGGAAATTATTTATTTGAAATTGAATTTCACTTCTATTTTTAATTTTGGTGGAAAATTTGTCGTTCTTTTGCCCTCTTAATGCTGTGACTTCTGAACTTATGAGATAAAGTGTTGTTTTGTTTTGTTTTCGTTTTTGAGATGGACTCTTGTTCTCTCGCCAGTCTGGAGTGCAGTGGCGCAATCTCAATCTTGGCTCACTGCAACCTCTGTCTCCTGGATTCAAGCAATTCTCTTGCCTCAGCCTCCTGAGTAGCTGAGATTACAGTCACCCACCACCACACCCGGTTAATTTTTGTATTTTCAGTAGAGATGGGGTTTCGCCATGTTGGCCAGGCTGGTCTTGAACTCCCGACCTAAGGTGATCCGCCCACCTTGGCTTCCCAAAGTGCTGGGATTACAGGCGTGAGCCATGGCATCCAGCCTAAAGATTTTATAATCAAAGAATATGTTTCCAACAGGAAATAACTTTGCACAAAGAAGTGTTTTATCAAGTATTGACATAATCTGTAAAAGAGAAACTTCTTTTGTAACCGCTCACGGAGCTAGGAAGCAAGATTGTTAATTGTCTAGAGTGATGTTTTATCTCTGTGTAGTTATCAGTACCAGTGTTGAGAATAAAAGTGAAAAAGTAACTGTTATTTTGGGAGAGCTTGGTTAAATCATGGGGACAAAAAGGAATGGTTACCAGTTTTATAGTATCACAGCATTCTTTAGGATCAGAATGGAGCAATAAGGTAACCAGCTAATGAGTCAATCTTTCCTTTTCTGTCTTCTGCAGTCATCTCAACTCGAACTCCACCACCACCCTCACCGTTGCCATTTCCAACACAAGCTATCCTTCCTCCAGCCCCATCGAGCTACTTTTCTCATCCAACAATCAGATATCCTCCCCACCTGAATCCTCAGGATACTCTGAAGAACTATGTTCCTTCTTATGACCCATCCAGTCCACAAACCAGCCAGGTAAAAATAAGAGAGAAAATAAGATTAGCACCTAAGGGAGATGGGACAGGTCTAATTCTGAGACATGAAGGTTAGTCAGACAGTGTGTCTGGCAGAACATCAAGCCTTGAAATCCATCTTCAGGAAGTTGCTTGGTGACTCAATAAGTTTTTATATAAAGGTGGCTGAATGACAGGTAGGAAGTGTGTTGCCCCAAAGGGTACATTTGTGAAGACGGTTTAATGTTTTTGGATTTTCATTCGCTGAAGGGAAAGTTTATGCAGAAAGTACACTGACAGGAAAGCTCTGAGCTGGAGTTCACACTTCTGAAATACCTGGTTTGACACAGATACAAAATGCTTATTTCAGGAAGGAGTAAGGTATGTGCTAAAATAAACACACACAGAAGAACTTACAGTTGTATTTATAGACCAACTATTAGGTATTAAAATAAGCTTTGGTAATGTAAACATTTTCAGTGTTTGATGACTTTGAATATTCTTTACAGAGACATGACTTACGTTTAATAATGAGTAACGTTATTAGAAGCGTCTTATTTTTTGGTAAACCTTGTGCAGTGGTTTTGGGGATTCATTGTGTAAGTGTAGTGACTCATGAGCATTTCTCACTCCCCTAGACATGTGGTTTCTTCTACTGAGAGGTTATTTCATAGGGATTTGGTATATGAGGGCTTTCCACAATCAAGCAGACAGTCTGTACTGGAGCTGGGGCTATCAATAATTGTAATATCTAAAACATGTAATTTTGATATTATGATACAGTATTTAGCTTTGCTGCTTTACCGCTAAGACTCCTCTCTACTCCTTATTATGCCTTTTAATATTTTGGAAATTTTCACAAACTTCTATCATTACTACTGTGGAACACTTCCTAAAATGCTAGGAAATAGTGTGTGTCTGTCGATTTATAGTTAGCAAAGAAAGGTGAGAAAAAAATCCCTTTGGTCTTAATTTGTTAAAATGAAACAAAATGGTCCTTTCTGAACTTTTCATTGTGAATAATAGATATCCAGGACCTTTTGGGATATCTTTTTACTTAAAAAGTTACCATTACTTTTAGTTCAACTAAGATAATACTGAATTTTGAATTTGAAGTTAAAATTATTATTTGTATTTTACAAGAAAATGTTAAAATGTAGCACTTTTCATGACTGCAGTACTAAAGAGAGCTAAGTAAAACAGTAAGATCTTAGTTTATCAGTTTAGAAATAAAATTCGTTGTCAGCGTATGGATTCAGAAGTCTCAGTTCCACAGAGCATTTTGCTAGACTCAGCTGGGAACAGTGCACGCAAGGTCTGATTTTAATTTGTGTAGAATTTCCATGAATAACAAAGTCTAATTAAGACATCCATTAAAAGTCCTTAACGTTAATTCAGTGTGGAAAATCTTAGAGTTCCATTGGATTTTTTTTTAACTGATGTCTTAATTAGGCACTGTTAGGGGAAAAATTATGCAAATTAAAATCAGGCCCTTAGTGTTACACATTTCTTTAATTATTCAGTGCTTGTTTTACGTATATTTCAATTTCTTTATAAGTTAAGAGGGCATATTAGGTGATAATCTGCCTATATTGTTCTAAGTTTTTCTTCACCTCTTCAAGATACATATCACCTTCTAAGAGGAGCATATTACTCTCATCTCAAAAAAAAAAAAAAAAGCAACAAAAAAACTCTCCAGATTTGGTATAATAGGAACCATTTATAAAGTAGAATAATCCTTTTCTAATGCTGTTAGCTTTACCTTCAGATATGACATCTCTCTTTTTCTATCTATAGTATGAAAGTTCATCTATTAACAGCCTTAAAAGATAGAAATTTTTAGTGTAGCTTCATCTGTTTGAACCAGTAGAAAACTGAGGAAAAAATACCCCTCTATTCTTCTGATCCTCCTGAGTTTTAGGAAAGTGGTCTGCATTAGCTTGTGAATTCTTTCTTTGTCATCTTTATTCTTTTCAAGTGAGAGAAGTGTCTACAAGTTCATGTTGTTCAATTCCAGCAGATGAAATCTGTAGAATGAGCAGGGTAGGATAATATATTTGGTGGCAGCATTTCTTTGAAATTATTGTCATTCTGCTTTTGTTGCAGGTGGGTACTTTCAAACTGTTTTGGTGAACACTGGATATAGAAACATTTTTACCACTGAATATACCATCAATGATAAAATGAGACCTTTGTTTTTTCTTGAGTAGGATGTTTAAAGCACTTATTTCCAATGTTCAAATAATCAGAAATGGATGGTCTGCTGTAGAAACAAACTATTTTTCCCCCTTGAAAGGAAAAATGGGTCTTTATAGTTAACTGCAGATTTTTTTTTGAGGAATAGTATATCTGCTTTGATTTTTAACTCCAACTCAAATCCAATTAATTTGCATTTCAAAATAAAATTCTTGGTATTTACCATTTTATCTCTAGAAATGAAAAGAAATTAGTACTCTTTCACCACTCACCTCTAGTTAACTGTTCCTTCCCAATATTCTCCATCGCTGCACTGATTTTGATTTTTAAGATAAGCAACTGAGATGCCTTTTCTTCCCCACAGCAATTTTGAGATTAATTGCATTACTGCTGCACCAATTATAGTGAGACAGTCATGCTATTCAATGGAATATTTTGAAGAAAATTAGTTTAAAGGTATAACTCTCCCATAGGTTTCCATATTGGAAAACTCTGGTCAATTTTCCTGACATCAAGTTAAATACTTAAAATTACCCATGATAAATAGTCAGGATATTCAAGAAGCCTATTTCCTTTATAGAATAAATAATGTGGCCTCTGAGGATCCTAACCAAAGATTTTGTTCATGACCGTAAGTCACAATATTTAAGTGTTATGAGCTGTTCATCTTTTTTTCTAAATAAATGTCTACTTGTAATTTATATGCAGATATTTAGATAAATATTCTTCTTCATTGTTTTCTTTGCCTTTAACAGTTTATATTATAAAGACTATATACTTGTGGAGAATGGCCTCATAGCAGATTGTGATGAACACCATGCAGTGGAGAATTCTAACATGGGTATAATCAAAAATAACATTCTCTGTCTAGAAAAATATATTCCATTATTTCTTCAAAGAGTGTATCCTTAGGATTTTGTTTTCTACCACAGAAACTATTTTTGTACCCAGGGCCTAAAACTCAGATAATAATATCTTTTCTATCATTGCCCAGGGGATTTTCTCAGTTAATTCCCACAAATGTCAACAATAAATGTTTTGTGTAACTCTCCATGCACCATAATGGAAGAGTAACTCAAATAACAATGCTCATTTGCTTGTCCTCTGCTTCCCCTCAGTACATATTAATTTACTTTGGAAATATTTTATTTGTAGGTGTTAAGATAAACCCAGCTCAGCATTTTGTGTCATTGTATGACCTCTGAAATTTTACATGCTTTAAATCTCATTCTATCTGTTTTATTAGTAAATTATGAAAAGTTGAGCATAGATCCTGGAATCTAAATTTCCTAATGTGTGCATCTGAGCACACCTGTGTGAGAGAGCTAGCATTTTGTATGCAGGAGAATGGCTCTTGACTACAAATAATGAAAATTCCAGTATTCGATGTGTTTGATGTCGAGATATTTTTGTGTCCTTTGTTTCAGTGATATCATCATGTAGGGGAAAATTGTGTTCTGAAAGCCAAAACTGACTCATTATAGAAAATGAAGAGCAGAGAATAAGGAAACATTGGGTTCCAACTCTAACTAGTTCAGTAAGGAATTCCATTTTAGCCTTTGGGCTAAGCATTTAAGTCTCCACTTGAGTTTCCTGGCCTACTTCATGAAAGGATCAAGTCTACCTGGCTCTCAGGGGTGCTGTAAAGAGGAATTATACCACATGCTTTGAAGATGTATACCTTCTTTGAAATGCTGCTGCTCCTTATTACTACTAACCATTGACCAGCCTCTCCAACTCCAACTGGAGAGGGCCTGTGTGGTGCCTATGCGCAGTGTGCTGGATCCACACGGTTGTGTTGCTGAGTGGACTTGTTGGACAAGATGACTGCCTTTTGGATTGCTTCACCTGGCATTCTGTTTTTGTTTTGTAGCCTAACAGCAGTGGTCAAGTAGTAGGGAAAGTGCCTGGCCATTTCACTCCTGTCTTGGCACCCTCTCCCCATCCCAGTGCAGTGCGACCTGTGACCCTGAGCATGACAGATACTAAACCCATCACTACATCCACTGAAGGTGAGGCAGCTTCACCTACAGCAACCAGTAAGTATTTCTGTAGGAAATGAGAAATGTCCATCAAAGGCACCATTGGATATCTGATCCAAGGTGGAAAACATGGCAATTTTTCCAGCTACCTGACCAGATGGAGATTTCTCATTTAAGTGGAACTAGCAGGCATGGATGTGGCTGTGCTATCTCAAGCTCTCTCTTCTCAAATTCCAGTCAATGCATCATATTTGAAAAGGGAGAAGCTCATTTGTTTAAGTTACCAGCTATAACAAAAATAATAAGTCACGCCTGCTCGTTCAAGATATACATTGAAATTGCACTGAGTAACATATACAAAGTTTTCATATCACCCAAAGAGAGATTAGATAATTGGTACTTATTGGAGCATTCCTATAGAAATCAAGCCCCCTCACAAAGCAGATGGAATCAGTGCATCTGTAAGGTAATTGCATGTCTACATTATTGTAGGTATGTCATTGTTAAAAACAGTCACATAACATTGGAAGCAGACGAGAATATTTCAAAACTTAGTATTAGCCACATGTAAGCTACCCACACTTTCATTATCTGCAAGCTTTTTTAAACACCTTTTGATTATTTTGCCTATCATGGTACATCAAATACTGTGCTTTTTAGTGTGGCCATAATATTTTAAATGTCAGAGATTTAGCCAGTGAACCTTCCTAACACATACCAATAAGCCACAATTCCTTTAATGTTTCATATAAAATACTCAGAAGTGTAGAAGAAATTGATTTTGAGGTGGTTTCACCCAGCTGTCAGCTTCTTAGTTAGTACTGGAGCTACAATGTACAAATTGGTGAAGTAGAATGATAAAGTTATGGAATTGGTGGAATTCACATGTGCCTCACCAATTATACAGGTATCTTAAATTCAAACCTTTTACTTTCTTAGAGCAAGAAAATCCCCATGATCTTGAAATTTCCATGTGAATCAGAGACAATCAGAGGCACCACTGGCTCTTTCTTGCCCATTGGAAAGATGCCATTTTTAAAAATAGTTTTTAAAAGACTAGGAAGGAACCCTTTAAGAAAAATGGACAATACTTCGTACAGTGAATTCAGCATTTATTTTTTCAAAATTCATGAGCCCCATAAATTAATAAGTTTCTATAGGCTTATATTACCCATCAATAATTCTTAATGCTTAGAACACTTCCCTGAATGCACAGATGGATGCGACCCACTCAGGAAACACTAAAAATTATTTGTTCTAAAAGTTTACTATGTGCATTACAGTCACTAAAACACTAAGTACTCATTTTGAAAGTGGTGTCTTGACATCTTTGAGCAATGTCAGCAATTTAAATAAAAGCACATATGAAACAAAGAATTTTTTTTAAGTAGTTGAAAGATTATCACAGGATAAATGGTCAAAACCAAGTTCTAGAAACTCTGATGCCTACTCTTATGGTGTTATTGATAGAAGAGATTCAGGAGAAGATCAGACCCAAATGATCACAGCTCATATATGTGAGTACTCAGCCTGTTTGTTAATGAACTGTTTTTATACTTACATACAGGTTGTTCAAAAAGGGATCTGATTTGACTAGTAAAATTACAAAATATTCAAAAGGAATATCTTGGTTGTATAAAGATGGCTGCATCAGTCCATTTTCCACTCCTACATAAAAGAAACATAGTGAGTAGTTTTTCTTTCCTATCAACAAATTTGTAGCTCCAGCTTTCTAGGCACTACCGGTAATAAAAAAAAGCTGGTCATTGAATTGATAAGGTAGTAAGGTTAAAGAAAACACGGAAGCCAAGGAAAGCTCTTTCTCATGGTTGAAAAGAAAGAGCAGCATAGATTTGGTGCTCTTTCTGTAAGGGTGAAGCTCCTCTCCAGCTGTTTGCGAGGTGTGAGGTGTGGTGAATTCCAGAGGCTTGGAGATTGAGTAGGGGTCACTGGTCTCTAACGGCTGCCTTCATGGCCCCTTTTTCAGGAGCAATTAAAATACGAATTGTGAGCATCTTCACTGTTTTTGAAAAGTTGCCCTAAAAAAGCTTCCATGGGTCAAATTCTTCATTCCTTCAAGAGAAAAAGGCAGAATTAATATGTTGGTTTTAGAAAGCCAGCCCATTTAAAAAGAATGCCTGGATTCCTCATTAATCTGGTGGTTTTAAACCAAACAGTGTAGCTTTCTTTAGAACAATACAGATAATATAGGGTGATATGGAGCAGTGGGATTGCTTAGTTCTAGGAAGATACCTTAGTCCTTTCCTTGTGAAAAGTAACAAAAGTCTTTAGGAGTAGCTCCCTATTCATTTTTCATGTGTGTTTGAAAAATTTACTCTATACCAAAAAGCAAAAAGCAGTTGTACAAATTACTTGCACGTGAGACTATAACAATGTAAGGAAAGTTACTACCTAGTGGCCAACTATTTAAAAGGTACATCAGTTCCCTTCCTGGATCAGTTACAAGAAATTGATTTTTGTATGTGTGCTTATGGGAAGTATTTTTTTTCAAAAACATTCCTATCAGACTTGAGGCCATTTTCACAAGTAAAATACCAAGCTAATTCATTCTACATGATATAGGCTCCTCCGTCTGATAGTGAGATTTGATTTCCTTTTTAGCAAGACTTTTAAACAGGACATTTCCCATGTCATTAAGCACATCTGCTTAAATTCCATCATGAAAAGCTGTCACTTTTTCCTGATGGACTTTCAGTCTGCTTTACATTTAGAATCATATACCATCATTGATTATTTCATATTAGACAACTAATATCTGGTGAAAAAGTACATCTAGGTACAGGACCCTTCTATTTAACCAATCTTTAGTACCTCAGCAGGACAGTCACTAGAGCATGGAAGTGTGAGGCACCCAACTGAAGTATGAGATCTGCTTTACTGGATAGATTTTTTAGAGGGAATAAACTAGTTGATTTGAAGTCAGGTATCATTTCTTTTCTATCACTTGGTATTCACTCAGACAGAAGAGAAATGAAGACACTTTTGGTTACAAATCCCACTTCTCTAGGTTTCTTATACATGGACAGGGTGTTCGTTCTCATAGTTCACAATTTTTATCTTTGTTTTTGTTCTTCCTTAATCAGCCTACACAGCCTCAGGCACATCTCAAGCCAATCGATATGTGGGACTAAGCCCAAGAGACCCATCCTTCCTACATCAGCAACAGGTGGGCAAGTTTCACCCAGGTGTGATGGTGTAGCCACGCTTTCGCTTCCGTGCTTCTCCATGTTGCCTCTCAATCTGGACTCAGAAGGGGGCTCCTGGGGCTTCTGAGACCAAAATTGATCATTTCATTTCCCAGAATTTTTTCTCATTGATCCTTTGTTTCTCACCTCTTTGAGCAGAGTTTCTCAAATTGGCTCATGACCTTTTCCATCTCTGTAGCATATATTGATAATATCCATGAGTAATAGCGTTTTAGGCAAAGTGTATTTTTCTCAGTTTCACTGGCTATTGAGAACTTACTAGCCTATAGCTTTCAAAGACAAAAACTGCAAACTGTTTTAAAAGCCAACTAGAATAAAAGCAGGATATAATTCAAGTTTGTGAGTGATTTCATATTTTCCAGATGTTTTGCTCCTCATGTTTGTATTTTAGTTCAAGATGATGAGTTATGAAGCTAAAATCTCAGGCGACACTTCATTCCTATTTTAATAGCTTTAAATTGGTTTACTGATTTCAGATGTGATAAAAACACTTCTTTTTGTTCTGCTGTCTTACATCCTTTATGTTTCTAGTAGCATTTTAAATTTCACATCTCATTAATGCTGTAAATTTAATGCAAATGAAGTGTTTACCCAAACTGTGAAAATATACAGCCAGGATTAATGGTGGCTTATAAACAGATTAGCCGCAGTCAAAAGCATGGACCATACCAATCTAGAAATCCCATGATTCCAGTTATAGGATAACAAAAATAATTCTAAACTGTTCTGAATTTAAATGTATTTTACGATGCATATGTTTACTGCTCTCAAGTTTTGATAGCAGAACAGTTTGAAATTAACAGTATGCAAAATATTATATAGGGGAAAATTAGGCTATAAGAAATAATGAGCTGTTGTTAACTAACTTGCTCTTTATTTATAAATTGCCTGTGCATATATATGAGTTTTTGTATAGGTAGTAGGATACTCTTGCCCACTTACTTTGTCTAGATCTGTTCACCTCACATACCCTTGCTGTGGCCTACCTCACTGTGCTTGGTGTGGAGTTCTCAAGTCCTTTCCAGTTGCAGCCCAAGAGGGCAGACTGCACATTAAAGGTCACCACATGCAGAGCTCAGAGAAAATCATAAAGATGATAGCTTATTCAGGATACTTGATGTTTTGCCAGGTTTTAAAAAAGCAAAACAAAACAAACCGAAAGAGTGAGAACTAACTGAAAACATCTGTACACAGTTATGAAAATACCAAATAATAATTAGTGGTTTTGCCAGCCATTGGCTTTTCAACATAATTCTCTGCCATGTTGATTTTTCACCTCTAAAATTGCTATAATATGAAATGAGTTATAATTACTATAATATGGTTCTATTTGACAAATGTATCTGTTCATTGTGTTTTTTAAAACACATATGCAGGATGTATAGGTTTAGAAACTTGTTCTTTTAAAAATCATTACATATTCTCAGGAATATTTTTGTCATGGGATTTGCATTATTTTTTATAACACATCTCTAATTTCCAGTTAATTTTTAATTCATAAAAACATGCCTCCATTATTTAAACTGTTATCCCCAAATGCTAGTTAGAATGCAGTACCAATTCCATGTATTTGGAGGCAGCCTTCCTCCACCACTACTCTAACCTATGGCAGCTTTAATTTTCTTATCCCTTCTGATAGGTGTTGAAGCCTCATGTAATTATGATTATGAAAGTCCATTAATATAAAAATTACTTCTCCTTTCACATATCTAAAAATACATCAAGAAAACTTAGCGACCATCATGAAAATATGAATTTTAATGTAGATAGCATTCTGGCACATCATATTTTTTAAAAGCTCTGAGTTCTAGAACTATAAACTTTTTTAAAACCAAAGAAGACAGCCACTTATTTAAGTGGAACACGTTGAATCAAGACCACTTAGAATATGAATTTGTTTTTTTCAGTCAACTATGGTTAATATTTATGGAATGCATGATATATATAGATCCTTGGAAGCAAAAAAAAATGTGTCCTTTATAGCTGAAAAATGCTAAATATCATGCAGACAGATAATTTGTTCTCTATGTAATGAAAGAGTTAGTGATATTTTTTAACTTGAAGGAGTCCATGTATGCCTTATTTCATGAACTCCAGTTTTGAAACATGTAGAAAATACATGTAAATATATATCATGCTATAGTTGTATATTAGTAAACTAAGGCTGCAGTCAAAAGCCTTTCGTTTTGGCCTTTCAAATTTTAAAAGAATTACAGAAATGAAGTTTTATGTTTACTATCCAGGAATAAAGGGACAGATATAGTTTAAATGACTTCAGTAAAGTAAAGATTATGCTTTCCTACAGTAGAAATGAGATTGATTTACTGTGTCCTTTCATTACTTTACAAAGATTTAAAAGAGACCACTCTTCTAGAGGCAGGTTCTAAATGCATTTGGTTTAAAGCACTCAATGATGAATGGAAAGGAAAATCAAGGGGTACATGAAATAAAGGTAATCAATCATGTTATATTAGCTAGGAGAAATTCAAAATTAGAAAGGCAGTGCTTTAGTCTGAGACGGTTCTTTTAAACATTCCCCATAGCCTTTAATATACATGACCCTTTAAGAATAAATATCGTCACCAGGTACATTTTACAGTTCATGGTGGCTGCTTTATAAAGATTTATCCTTTTAGGTTATGAAAAGTACTGATGTGTAATTTTGAGTGCTTTTTTTTTCTTAGAAAAGAACTTTAATACAGCCTACATAAATTAGAGTTAATGATAAATTTAAAGTTGTTGGGTAATTTTGATTATTTTATAAATAATCTTTCCACAAGATGATACTACAGCGGAGTTTCCAATATGGTCATTTCTAATACATAAGCATACTAGCATTATCAAATTGAGATGAAAAACTTTATAATATTAAAATGAACCCTGTATTTCACCTGTAAGAGTAATACATTCATATTGTCAAATATGAATACTAGAAGTATACACTTTTATATCATTTGCTTGGTACAGTGACAGTTGTTATTAGTAATTATACATCTTTGTGCTTCTTTTCATAATAGTTACTACTGATGACACTGGTTTCTAACTGATTGGGAATACTAGTTTATTTTGACTGGAAGGAAGTTCACCTATTGAAAATATATCTCATTTAAATCTAAAAAAATAAATTCGCATAGTCATAAAGAATATTTCCAAAAGGTTCATGTAAACCAGTCGATAATCTGCCATCAAAAATAATCCTGCCTAATCAGTCATAATAGTCAGCTCACACCAGCTGATCAATATTTGACTTTAGACTCTTTTTTTTTTATCTCTTAACACAATCTTGAATACTTTTCAAGTCTAAAACTAGTCTGTCTTTGGGATTATTGGCTTAGTTATTGCATTTGCTATTGGCATGGGGGAAATCTGAAAATCAGAACTTCAATTGGAGCTTCATTCTTCTTGAACTTTTCTATTGGAAGATGGTTTTGGTGGCTTGAAGAACTCATGGGTCCTGCTCTGGCAAACTGAACTCATTAGTTCTGCTGAGAAATGTCTTTTATGATTTGGAACATTTTCAGAAATGTGGAACACCTCCACACTGACTTAACTTCATTGAAGTTTAATAAAATGCGGTATATCCTTTTCTCTCTCATACTTTATACTTCATGAACACATTGCACAGATTCATTATGACAGGCTATGAAGGCACCACATTTCCCAAATTTTATCTCTTTGAGAAAATGGGAACTATCAATCATAGTGTTGGATGGTACTTAGAAAATAAAGAAATTATTTTATGATCCAGTCTAACAATTTTAGCAAGATGAATAATATGAGGCAACTTACTTGAATTAGCACCAGTTTCTTATCTGGTCAACCTCCTAGTGAGATGCTAATTTCAGGCCTCTTTCCTTTGCTATTATAGAAATTTTGGTAGTATTAATACAAGAGAATCTAGCTAATTTGATTATCACCATTATATGTGAGTCTAAGGTCATAATAAAAGCCTAAATTCTTACTATTGTATATCAATTCAACATATATTTAAAAATCTCTTTGTAAGTTGGAAATAAAAGTTGTCAGCTAAGAAGCTTCTAGTTTGAAATAAAAGGTCACCATTCAAACAGACCATTGAAGTGCATATTAACCTTTGATGTATATTTCAGATTTTAATTGAATAAATTAGGAATTCGCTTTTGACTTCCCTAAGTGAGACAGTAAAGTCAAGTAAGGTGTAGTTTATAAGAAATCGGCCTTATTTTCATAATCTCAAAAGTTAAATCGCCTGACTATATATATTACCTATAATAAGAGCTAATGAATCAGTGGCCTGACCAATTCAGGTCCTTGCATTACTTCTCACAATTGCATGGATTTTATTGGTGCTTGGGTTTCAGCATGTTACACCTCTTGCATGACTATATAATTCTATTATTTGAATTTCAATTACTGGGCTAGTTTATATTTAAATTGTTTCAATACTTTTCTTATAACACTTTTTTTTTTTTAATTACAATTTGAAAGTACTTCTCATTACACTGAAAATTTCTGTTACACAAAATGGCCTTTTTAAGAAATTGCCTCTAGAGGATTTTTTAAAACTAAGATATTAGTTTAAATCTTCTTATAATGTTTGTCCTGGCAAATGGCAAAGCCAAAGCTTGGTACTACCACTGGAAAGGCAGTCATTTATTAGAGGCAAGCAATTAAAAGGACACAAGTGGACTATCAACAAACTTTTCAATACAGTCAGGAAGCAGGCTATCAACACTTGGGCTGTTCTTATTGTGTCGGTTATCATAATTGACAGCTTGACGTAAAATGCTATCACATGACTTCTGGGTAGGTATGTAAGTGGATAAGAGGTCACTTTTCACGTATGCTGGCTTGAAAGGAAACACATTTAAAGGAAGTTTCAGTTGAAATAATGTCTATGCAAATGTTTAGCTCTTTGGCTAGTTCTTAAATTCATAAAATCCTTCCATTGTCTGTCTTTTTCATTCACTGGTTTGTTCAC